AGCAATTGCGAATGGCAGTTCGCTCTTGATTTGGCTTTCTTTAAGTCTGTTATTGGTGTAGACGAATGCTTGTGATTTTTGCACATTGATTTTATATCCTGAGACTTTGCAGAAGTTGCTTATCAGTTTCAGGAGTTTTTGGGCTGAGGCGATGGGGTCTTCTAGGTATACTATCATGTCGTCTGCAAATAGAGACAATTTGGCTTCCACCTTTCCTATTTGAATACCCTTTATTTCTTTTTCTTGCCTGATTGCTCTGGCTAGAACTTCCAGTACTATATTGAATAGGAGTGGTGAGAGAGGGCATCCTTGTCTAGTACCAGATTTCAAAGGGAATGCTTCCAGTTTTTGCCCATTCAGTATGATATTGGCTGTTGGTTTGTCATAAATAGCTTTTATTACTTTGAGATACGTTCCATCGATACCGAGTTTATTGAGGGTTTTTAGCATAAAGGGCTGTTGAATTTTGTCAAATGCCTTCTCTGCGTCAATTGAGATAATCATGTGGTTTTTGTTTTTGGTTCTGTTTATGTGGTGAATTACGTTGATAGACTTGCGTATGTTGAACCAGCCTTGCATCCCTGGGATGAATCCTACTTGATCATGATGAATAAGTTTTTTGATTTGCTGTTGCAGTCGGCTTGCCAATATTTTATTGAAGATTTTTGCATCTATGTTCATCATGGATATTGGCCTGAAGTTTTCTTTTCTCGTTGGGTCTCTGCCGGGTTTTGGTATCAGGATGATGTTGGTCTCATAAAATGATTTGGGAAGGATTCCCTCTTTTTGGATTGTTTGAAATAGTTTTAGAAGGAATGGTACCAGCTCCTCCTTGTGTGTCTGGTAGAATTCGGCTGTGAACCCATCTGGACCTGGGCTTTTTTTGTGAGGTAGGCTCTTAATTGCTGCCTCAACTTCAGACCTTGTTATTGGTCTATTCATAGTTTCAGCTTCCTCCTGGTTTAGGCTTGGGAGGACACAGGAGTCCAGGAATTTATCCATTTCTTCCAGGTTTACTAGTTTATGTGCATAGAGTTGTTTGTAATATTCTCTGATGATGGTTTGAATTTCTGTGGAATCTGTGGTGATTTCCCCTTTATCATTTTTTATTGCATCTATTTGGTTGTTCTCTCTTTTCTTTTTAATCAATCTGGCTAGTGGTCTGTCTATTTTGTTGATCTTTTCAAAAAACCAGCTCTTGGATTTATTGATTTTTTGAAGGGTTTTTCGTGTCTCAATCTCCTTCAGCTCAGCTCTGATCTTAGTAATTTCTTGTCTTCTGCTGGGTTTTGAGTTTTTTTGATCTTGCTCCTCTAGCTCTTTCAATTTTGACGATAGGGTGTCAATTTTGGATCTCTCCATTCTCCTCATATGGGCACTTATTGCTATATACTTTCCTCTAGAGACTGCTTTAAATGTGTCCCAGAGGTTCTGGCACGTTGTGTCTTCATTCTCATTGGTTTCGAAGAACTTCTTTATTTCTGCCTTCATTTCGTTGTTTACCCAGTCAACATTCAAGAGCCAGTTGTTCAGTTTCCATGAAGCTGTGCGGTTCTGGGTCGGTTTCTGAATTCTGAGTTCTAACTTGATTGCACTATGGTCTGAGAGGCTGTTTGTTATGATTTCAGTTGTTTTGCATTTGTTGAGCAGTGCTTTACTTCCAATTATGTGGTCAATTTTAGAGTAGGTGTGATGTGGTGCTGAGAAGAATGTGTATTCTGTGGGTTTGGGGTGGAGAGTTCTGTAAATGTCCACCAGGTTTGCTTGCTCCAGGTCTGAGTTCAAGCCCTGGGTATCCTTGTTGATTTTCTGTCTGGTTGATCTGTCTAGTATTGACAGTGGAGTGTTAAAGTCTCCCACTATTATTGTGTGGGAGTCTAAGTCCTTCTGTAAGTCATTAAGAACTTGCCTTATGTATCTGGGTGCTCCTGTGTTGGGTCCATATATGTTTAGGATCGTTAGCTCTTCTTGTTGTATCGATCCTTTTACCATTATGTAATGGCCTTCTTTGTCTCTTTTGATCTTTGTTGCTTTAAAGTCTATTTTATCAGAGATGAGAATTGCAACTCCTGCTTTTTTTTGCTTTCCATTAGCTTGGTAAATCTTCCTCCATCCCTTTATTTTGAGCCTTTGTGTATCCTTGCATGTGAGATGGGTTTCCTGGATACAGCACACTGATGGGTTTTGGATTTTTATCCAATTTGCCAGTCTGTGTCTTTTGATTGGTGCATTTAGTCCATTTACATTTAGGGTTAATATTGTTATGTGTGAATTTGATACTGCCATTTTGATTCTAAGTGGCTGTTTTGCCTGTTAGTTGTTGTAGATTCTTCATTATGTTGAAGCTCTTTAGCATTCAGTGTGATTTTGGAATGGCTGGTACTGATTGATCCTTTCTATGTGTAGTGCCTCTTTCAGGAGCTCTTGTAAAGCAGGCCTGGTGGTGACAAAATCTCTGAGTACTTGCTTGTTCGCAAAGGATTTTATTCTTCCTTCACTTCTGAAGCTCAGTTTGGCTGGATATGAAATTCTGGGTTGAAAGTTCTTTTCTTTAAGAATGTTGAATATTGGCCCCCACTCTCTTCTGGCTTGTAGTGTTTCTGCCGAGAGATCTGCTGTGAGTCTGATGGGCTTCCCTTTGTGGGTGACCCGACCTTTCTCTCTGGCTGCCCTTAGTATTCTCTCCTTTGCTTCAACCCTGTTGAATCTGACAATTATGTGCCTTGGGGTTGCTCTTCTTGCGGAATATCTTTGTGGTGTTCTCTGTATTTCCTGCAATTGAGTGTTGGCTTGTCTTGCTAGGTGGGGGAAATTTTCCTGGATGATGTCCTGAAGAGTATTTTCCAGCTGGGATTCATTCTCTTCGTCCCCTTCTGGTACACCTATCAAACGTAGGTTAGGTCTTTTCACATAGTCCCACATTTCTTGGAGACTTTGTTCATTCCTTTTTGCGCTTTTTTCTCTGATCTTGGTTTCTTGTTTTATTTCATTGAGTTGGTCTTCGACTTCAGATATTCTTTCTTCTGCTTGGTCAATTCGGCTATTGAAACTTGCGTTTGCTTCGCGAAGTTCTCGTATTGTGTTTTTCAGCTCCTTTAATTCATTCATATTCCTCTCTAAGGTATCCATTCTTGTTATCATTTCCTCGAATCTTTTTTCAAATCTTTTTTCAAGGTTCTTAGTTTCTTTGCATTGATTTAATACATGATCTTTTAGCTCACAAAAGTTTCTCATTATCCATCTTCTGAAGTCTAATTCTGTCATTTCGTCACAGTCATTCTCCGTCCAGCTTTGTTCCCTTGCTGGTGAGGAGTTTTGGTCCTTTCTAGGAGGCGATGTGTTCTGGTTTCGGGTGTTTTCCTCCTTTTTGCGCTGGTTTCTTCCCATCTTTGTGGATTTGTCTGCTGGTCGTCTGCGTAGTTGCTGACTTTTCGTTTGGGTCTCTGAGTGGACACCCAGAATGTTGATGATGAAGTATTTCTGTTGCTTGGTTTTCCTTCTACCAGTCTAGCCCCTTCGCTGTACGACTGTTGAGGTCCGCTCCAGACCCTGCTTGTCTGGGGTGCACCTCTAGTAGCCGTGGCACAGCGAGGGATGCTACCAGTTTCTTTTTCTGCTCTCTTTGTCCCAGGATGATGCCTGCCTAATGACAGTCTTTTGGATATAGAGGGGTCAGGGAGCTGCTTGAGGAGACAGTTTGTACTTTATAGGGGTTTAATTGCTGAGCTGTGCACTCTGTTGTTCATTCAGGGCTGTTAGGCTGCTATGTTTGATTCTGCTGCAACACAGCTCATTAAACAACCCTTTTTTTTTTTCTCAAATGCTCTGTGTTGAGGGGTTTGGGCTTTATTTTTGGATGTCCGATCAGGTGTCCTGCCCAGCTCAAAGGCAGACTAGCCACTGTTTGGCTGCCGAGGCTCCGCCCTGCTGTTGTGTGATTCGTGCTGTTCCTGCCGGCTCTGCTGTGGTCTCCGCCACGCCCTGCGGCGGAGTCTCTTCGTTGTAGCGTGTTGCCTCAGCAACGGCAGGCTGCGTCAGCAGTGGGCGTGTATCTCAGTAGGGACGGGTTGCCTCGGCAACGGCTGGCTGCGTCAGCAGTGGGCGGGTATCTCAGTTGGGGCGGGTTGCCTCGGCAACGGCTGGCTGCCTCAGCAGTGGGCGTGTATATCAGTTGGGGCAGGTTGCCTCCGTAGTGGTGGACGCCCCTCCCCCACAGAGTGTCTCGGACCGTCTGCCCGGGATAGTTTGAAATCGCGGTTTTGTTCGTCCCACTGGGTGTCCCAAGCGATCTGTCCCTGCAATCCCCTGGGCTGGGCCACTGTGCAAGTCTCGTTCAGTCTCAAGTCCAGCCCTCTCAAGTCTCAGGTTGCCGGTTCAACAAGGCACCCGGACAAGCGCGCCCCGTGGGGATTGCTGGGTAGGGCCGGCTGCCGCCGCCCCGGCTGCCGGCTTCGCCAGGCAGACCTACTGCCTGGCGTCCCGTGTCTTTTTATACTTGGGAGTTTCCCTGTTCTGTGGGCAACAAAGATCAGTCTGGAAATGCAGCACTGACTCACCGTTTGCGAATTCAACGCGGGCTCCAATCCTGGGTTGTTCTCACAGTGCCATCTTGAGTCCCCTCCTACATTTTGTTTTATTTTACCAGCTCTCGAAATGGGAGTCTCCCCAAGACTCAGTGGAGTAAGAGGGAAATGCTCAACTCATGCAGCGGCTGGACACTGCATGAAGGCTATGCGGATCCATTAACCTGCTTATCCTGCTTATGGCAACTAGACATTGGCTGTTCAGGTGGGTACATGTATTTCAGTTTGCCACAGCCCCTATAATTCCTTATTGTGTTATACTTGCTGGTTGGCTTCAGAGCTTAACGGCCGAGTTTCCAATTCCTGAATTAACGCAGAGGTCTGGTTTTTGTATATCCCAGATTTAGTTGCTGAGACTCACGTATGGGTAAGGAACACTCACAGCCCTGGGCAAGAGTATCACTGTCCTCGTCATACCTTGTTTAACAAGTTCTTTAATTCTCCCTGGAGTTCCTACACCCAAGTGTACCACACGCTTCTCCAGCAACTTCATCTGCTCCTGGACCTGTTCCAAGATTAAAGAGAAGGGAAGAAAAGGAAAAGTCATTAAGAAAGTGCAATCTTACACCAATTTAGAGCATTTTATCTCAAAGTTAAGAAAGTGAAATGCAAATGGAGCTACCCTTGTACAGTATCAACTTCCAGGGCAGAGATGAGCATATCCCTAGAAAACTGGTGAATCCTCAAGCAATCAAAGGGTCAAACCTCAGGCTCTATACAGGGATGGAACATGGCAGTACTGACTGCCATAGGTGGGGTGGCAGGGGTAGGTGTGAGGAGGGATAGAATTAAAAGAAACAGAGGCCAGGCGCGGTGGCTCAAGCCTGTATTCCAGCACTTTGGGAGGCCGAAGCGGGTGGATCACGAGGTCAACAGATCGAGACCATCCTGGTCAACATGGTGAAACCCCGTCTCTACTAAAAATACAAAAAATTAGCTGGGCACGGTGGCGCGTGCCTGTAATCCCAGCTACTCAGGAGGCTGAGGCAGGAGAATTGCCTGAACCCAGGAGGTGGAGGTTGCGGTGAGCTGAGATCGCGCCATTGCACTCCAACCTGGGTAACAAGAGCGAAATTCCGTCTCAAAAAAAAAAAAAAAAAAAAACAGAAAAGCTGTTAAATGTTACATAAGGAAGGAACTCAATAACGTACTTGCTAAGGAGATTAGGAGAAGAGGTTGAAAGGAAACAACTGAGGTCTGGGAAAGGCCTTTAGGGATCACAGGCCCCTGCTTACCTTTATGTGCTTTGCAAATAATTTTATAACTTTGCTGTCTCCTCTGAATGCTGTCATTGACCTAATGAAAAGAAATAGGTGAATGCTTAAGAAAACCAACTCATTCTGGGCCACGATGACTTAAATATTATGTCTTGCTTTATTCAAAGAATATGTGCATCTGTGTGTATATATGTGCATATGTACACACAGATTCTGAGATTTTCAGGTTAGCCCATGTTTGCAATGAGAGTGGGTGGCCTTTTATTCAGACACATATCTGGGTTGGCTTCATACTGCCATGCACAAGGCCAGCCTTACTTAAACTTCCTTGATTACTGAAACACAGGACTCTGCCTTTCACTTGCAATACAGAATTCCCGTATTTCAGGTCCCTGGCAGAGAATTTATATTCCAATTATGCAGTGCAGTTCTCACACAAAATCTGGTTGCAAGAGATATCTTAGAGTGGTGATGCGAGCGCATTCTCTGTGGAGCCAAGGGCATCTACAAAGCTCTGCCTGAGGTGGCCACGAGGGGAAGCTGGGGTTGAGCCTGAAAGGAAGAAGGAGGAGGGCTCTTCTCTCCCTCTGTCAGAGCTGTCCCTTTTTATCTACTTTGTAGACTAAGCTTCTCTATAAAATTTTATATGTGGAAATGGAGCTTCGGCCAAAAAGAAGGGAAGGGGAGGGGAGGGGAGGGGAGGGAAGGGAAAGAGGAAGCAAAGAAGGAAGGAAAAAACTAAGAAGAAACTATTGACACAACAGACTGGCTGAATTAAAGCTATGAGGGCAGGGGGTTATTATGAATGAGTGAAGTGATTTGGGAGGCAGGTGTGAGGACGGAGGGGCACTGGAGAGTGTGTGTCCCCCAACCAGCGCTCAGCTTTGCCAGTTATGATGATGTGAGATTATGGGATTAAGACCCTTTGATTTTTAGAGAAGCCAGAAATCTAGATTTTTATATGTGCAATCTGATTTTAAATACGGACAACTCATACCAAATTTTTTTAGGTGCAAAATACTTGTGCCTTTGAGCTGTCACTTTACAGTCTCTGGCTTACACCAGTAGGACAGGCAGTCCATTTAGTTTCTAGGTAGTCAGGAAGCTAGATCTATCTAAATCAATCCAGACCACCAGCTCCGAGGGTCGAGACGATGCTGGCGGCACCTGGCATGCCTGCCTTTCTCCTCAGGTCCTCAGCTGGCACCAACAGCTCCTCTATAAACAGCCACAGAACATTATTTGTCCTGGGTTTTTGTTGTACAGATGACATGAGAATGCTGCTGTCACTATGTCATGGTGGAAGAGCTGTATTTCTCAGGGAACTTCTGTCTCCCCCACTAAACCCACTGAATGTCATCAGTCTGGCAGCTGATAATGGTTCCCAACAGATCCTGGCTGTTGGAAGGTGCAGGCCCCCAGTTGGGGCCACCTTTGCAACTGAACAGGGCCTTATAGACATGATTTTGAGCATCATTTTTAGCTGGCTTCACGTAATTTCTTGTTCTTTATTTTTTCCTTCCATTTTCACACCCTGCTTTTCATTTGTTGAATGTATTTCTATATATCCCCTAAAATTCCATTTTGAGAAGAAGTGGGCATAAACGAATGATCTTTTAATTGATATTTGAGGGTAGACCTAACATGGGTTTACTACTTTCCTTCATATATCATTATTATATTTTGAGAAACATTGATCAGTAAAAACATATGAGTTTGCAAAACAGTGAATCATGCTATACAAATTATGTTGCCTTCAAGTTTTTACTTACACATAGGCTTTCTCCATGGCAGGGTTAACCAGGAAGACAATTTAACATAAGTCACGGCTCTCAAGAGAACAGATCTTACAAAAGTTAGGATTATTAAATATTAGTCTTTATGAATAGGGCTTGTTGGGCCTACTCAGAAATCACCTTTTGCAAATCACCTAACGTTGAAATGGATCATAGTATTACCGAGGATGCAGAAAAATACTGCAAATAGTCAATGCAGTGTGACAACACAGTACTTTTATGCCCTCGGTAAGGAATTTATCTACAACAAAAGCTCAAATCAGTTTGATAGCTTTATTTTAAGAGTTCACCTCCAGGCCAAATTCTTTGCCCTTAGCCTTTGAATCTGAAATGAGGTAGTTTCAAATCGCTGAAAAGTCAGTGTGAATTCCCATGATTTCAGGACCAGCAAGTACAGCTGCCCAGAAGCAGTTGGAATCTTCAAGATCAATTATGTTTAGAGCAGAAACAATGGAAAGAAACACTTTTGCTTTACTGTGAGAGTATATGCTACAATTTAATGTGTGTCCCCACCTCGATGGAGAAAGGAGGGTTTGAAGGACCTATTAAAGTTTAACAACTTCTTTTCTAAACTCATGATTAGATTAGTTCATTTAGAAAAAACATTCTAAATAACTACTGAGAGTCTACATTTGCACTTAGTCTATTTGACCCAGTTCCTTTTTCTTCCTGACTTGGATTTTCCTTTGTTTTGTCTCCTGTCAAAGCCTGGCCCAGAGCCTGGCTCTCAGGGAGAGCTGGTCCTAGTGAATCCCGTCTGACTCTGACGGCTCTTCTCTGAAAGCTGAATATTACCACTGATCAGTGGAAGCCTTCTTGTTTATTCTACAAAAACTATGGTAAATGAAAAGGTATGTGAAAGCACTTAGTAAAGCACTGACAAATTATCTTTAAAACATAATCTTTACATTCAAATTTTTGTTCCATTTGGAATTTATCTTGGTATAAGAAGTGAGCTATGAATCCAACCTCATTTTTCCAGATGGCTACCCAGTTGTTTCAACACCATTTATTAAACAATCCATCTTTCCCTAGTGATTTCTGACTTGTCACCTTAGGCATATGCTCCATTTTCATATGCATTTGGGTCTGTTCCTGAGCTTTAAATTCTGTTCCACTTATCTGATCTGTCATGCATGCGCCAGTTACATACTGTTTTAATTCTTGAGAGAAAGTGTGTGTATGTATATATAATTTGTAATCTCTGGGGATATAATCTCATTGGTATTCTTTTTCAGAATTTCTTCGCCTATTTTTAGTTGTGTATTTTCCCATAAAAATTCAGAACTAGTTTATCCAGTTTAAAAAAACAATTATATTGGAGTTTTACTAGGAATCTGTGAAATCTGTAGGCTATCCTAAGTAAGACACACATCATTACAATATTGAGTTTTCCTATTCAAGAATATGGTACACGTTTTTGTTTGTTCAAGTTTTCCGCATCCCTTAAATGATGTTGTCTGTACATAAGTTTTGGTAAGTGTATTCCATGGTATTCTATCTTTTCTTTCTTTCCTTTTTTTCTTCTTTCTTTCTTTCTTCTTTTCTTTCTCTCTCTCTCCTTCCTTCTCTTTTCTTTCTTTCCTCCCTTCCTCCCTCTCTTTCTTTTTCTCTTTCTCACTCTTTCTCTCTCTCTCTCTCTTTCTTTCAATTCATAATGGAGATGGGGTCTTATTATGTTGCCCAGGCTGGTCTCGAACTCCAGGGCTCAAGCAGTCCTTTGACCTCAGCCCCTCAAAGTGCTAGGATTATAGGCATGAGCCTGGCTTCTCTTTTTTTGTTACTGTTTAAGTCAGCGCTTTTCTTCTAACTGGTTGTTTGGGGTATGATCTCCTTGCTTTTACCCTTGCTGTGTACAATGTGTGCTCTCCATATGGCAGCCAAGTGAATGTTTAAAATGACGATTCGATCAAGTAACTCCTTAAAATCCTATAATAGGGTCTTCTGTGCTTACTCTCCCCTCTACCTGGAATGGTTTTCTTTCAGATAGCCGCTGGGCCTTCTTCACTTTGTTCAAGTCTGTGACCAAACTGTCATCTCCTTAGAGAAGCTTTTCCGTGACCATCCTTTGAAAGGTAGTCCTGATCCACTTATATCCCTTTGTCATGCTTTATTTTCGGCTTTTGTAACTTATCAACGTATCTGACATTCCAATATATTTTCGTTTGTTTATTAACTGTCTTCACTGCTGAAATGTAAATTCCACGAGGGCAGGGACTCTGTTTTGTGTATTGCTACATCTCTAGCACATAGAACATAATAGCTTGGCACACAGAAGTTATTTAGAAACATTTATGATATGAAATAGGTGAACCTTCCAACCTGATGAGTTCCAGGGTTCGGATGGCCGAGCTGCAGATGATCAGCATCAGGACCGATTTCTTCTCACTGTGGTTTTTTCTAAGTTTTACCCACTTAGGACAAACTGGAAAAAAGACCACAAAAGTTATTCAAAATACAGCAAAACAAGGCCAACCTCCCAAGTTGAGTATTTCTTCTCTGCTGAGTGTTTAAGCAAAATAAAATATAGTGAGCATGGTTCATTATAATTCCAATTATAATTCCATTTTCTGGTTATTGTAAATATTAGATTAAGACGAAGTATCATTAATTTATAACACAAAACACACATGCCAAGTCCTTAAATGTGACTGATTTTAAAATGAAGTAAAAAGCTTTGGAATATTACATTTTTGAAATTTTAATTTATGTTTGATACTTGAAGACAATGTCGATTAAATAGGAAACAAATTCTGATTCAATCATGTTAAATTTTAAAGGGACATTCAACATAAGACATAAAATGGAACAAACATTTAAACAACAGCAAACATTTATTAAATACTGACATGGTGCCATCTTGGGGTCTTTTATTTTCTTTTTTCTTGGGGTCTTCTTATCATCTTGGGGTCTTACACTGATTTTTTGTTTTCATAATCTAGTGAGGTTGATTCTCGTTATTACCTAGATTAACATTTTCTGAATCTGAAGCTGAGAAAGGTTTATGAACTTGAGTGTCATCAGAACTGCTTGCAGTTTGAAAGAATAAAAAATTTCTCTATCTAAACAATTTCATCGCTAGCCATAAATAAATGACCACTTGATATGAATAACTCAGTTATTGCTGGCTACACATAATACATATTGAAGGGCCAGACACAGTAGCTCATGCCTGTAATCTCAGCACTTTGGAAGGCTGAGGCGGGTAGATCTCTTGAGCCCAGGAGTTTGAGACCAGCTTGGGCAACATAGAAAGACCCCTTCTCTACCAAAAATAATTTTAAAAAATTAGCAGCTTGTGGTGGTGCACAACTATAGTCCCAGCTACTTGGGAGGTTGAGACAGGAGGATTGCGTGATCCCAGGAGGTGGAGCCTCCAGTTGGCTGTGACCACACCCCTGCACTCCAGCCTGGGAGACACAGTGAGACCCTGTCCCTCTGCAGCCTCCCAAAGTATACATTTTGAAAAGATAAAATTAGATTGCTTCACATTAGCCATGGTCTGAGTTCTAAACATGCAAACAGAATTTCAGAATTTCACAGATGGAACAGATATCATATAGTCCATCTTCCCTGTTTTTCAGATAACAAATTAAGTCGAGGGAAGTACTCAGTGACCTTGTCCCAGGTCAAACAGCAAATTGGTGGAGGACCTGGGACTAGAACACCATTCTCTGGATTCCTAGAGCAATAATGGTCTAATTTGTTATAAACAAAAATGAGACCGAAACCTGATTTCCCAAAGCCAGAGCAAAATAAGAATAAGTTTAAATAGATTAAAATCAAAGTTTACTTACTTTCTTTTAGGTATGAGGAAAGACTGTGAGTCAAATCATTGGCCTTGAGGAAACAGGAGTCTAGAAATAGGAGAAACATGCTTTACAGAGAATTTTGTGAAGACACACACAATCAAATAGATGGTATGTGAGTTATGAGTGATGTATACAGTTGTAAAACATTAGTGAATTGGACGCCCATTACATATCTTAAAGTATTGCCTGTATTTAAAACAGCAGCAGCAACAAGTAAACTTTTAACTGGTCACAGACTTGCCCATAATTTGTTAGGGCAGTGAAATAGGAGATCGCTGTATCACTCAGCAGATTAATGAAGCACTTTTATTTTCCAAATTCATAAAATAGGCACTCAACAAATGCAAAATGAAATGACTAACAAATCTATGTAAAGATATTCAAACTCACTAGTTATCAGAGAAGTACAAATTAATATAATGTACTTTTTACACACTCAGAATGGCAACTATTGGCAAGATATTTAATAGCAAGTGTTGAGGAAGCAGGGTGATGTAAACTTGTGAACTGTAAGTGGAAGTAGAAACTGGTATAGATGTTCTGGAAAGTAGGAATATTAATATGTTTATACCCTATAATCCCATGATTTCATTTCAAGTAAAATAAAGGAAAGAAATTCTTGTGTGGTCTGGGTAAGGTACACACACAGGGATAGTCATCCTGGCATTATTTGTGCTGAAAGGTGCCGAAAGCAACCTAGGTGTCCACATCTGGGAAAATGGATGAGTGATAGATGGAAATACTGGAATATTGTGTTGCATTTAGAAGCAATGAACTAGATATGCATAAAACTACATAGTCACATCGGGAAAAAGTGTCAAGTGAAGAAAGAAACAGAATAAAAGCCTTAGCACAAAGCCATTTAGGTACAATTTAATATGTATATACCTACGCAGCATGACATAGTTTATAAGATTATATATATGTATTTAAAAATGCCTATCATATTAGAGTGAATGCCTATAAGGAAAGGAAAATAGAGTTTGGATTAGGGAAGAATGGGAATCGTCTCAAAATAACAACACAGCAGAACAATACAAGAAAAGACAATATAACACGTTAAAATAAAACAGGGGTCTTGACTGACCAAAATAAAATTTATGTTGTGACCCAGCACATAGAAGCCATTAAGTGAGTAATTCAAAGCTGTTTTCTCCTATATTGTTGTGGAGCCTTTGGTGGTCTTTACAACTATAATGTCCCAAGCCTGGATATGATCAGACTCACCTGGAGAACTGAAGCTACAGATTCCTGGGATGGAGTCTCTTTTGCAAAGTGAATTAGAATCTCTTGGTGGTGAGCCTGGGAATCTGATTTTTAAAAAGTTGCTGGGTGACTCCGTTGCAGCCAGCCTATAGGCATGTAGGAATCACTAATCTAAACTGCACTGCAGCTCTCAGGAGACAGCAGAGAGGTTAATCAGCTCCGGGAGACGCCAGCCTTGAAACCCTAATGAAGTGCCCATGTGTATGACATTAACAATGTACAGTGCACAATATTAATTGAAAAGACATGTTCCTGCCCCACAGACACAAACAACTTCAAATCAAAAACAAGTCAGAGGCTCAACATACTAAATAGGAACAATATGTTATTATTTATATCTACCTTATATGCATATATACAAGGGGATTTATGCCCCTCCCGGAGTGTATTCCAAGTAACCTACTGTATTTCCTTTCCCTCCCCAGCTTAGATCTCTCTGTCGTTGGTCTCATCAGTGAAGTGACCAGGCTGTTCTCCCAAATCCTCCTCTGATGTCTCAGTTTATTGTGTCTTAAATGACCTAATTTTTTAACTAAAAATAAAACCTGTCCTTTTTTGTTATAACATTATTTCACAAATAATTTCCTTCCTCCCCAAATGAACTCATGATCCCACATTCTTGCCTAACTATATTATTGAACTCCAATAAAACAATAATATCAGACAAATTCACTATGGAACTCAAATGACTCCTTAAAGGTTTCTTCTGAGCTTTGACTCTAACTCCAGAGAGCAGCAAGGTTTACGGTGTTCCATGAGGTTACAGAACAGCAGTGGTCCTATTACTCACAAATCCTTCTTAAGTTCAAGTTACGCTCTAACAAAGAACTAGAATGCAAAACTGACCACTGAGTCACAGTAAAAATCAAACTTCAGTTAAAGCTTTAAAACTAGTTTTGTTAGAATAGTTCCTGTGATAGTGCAGTCAGGACACAGTTTTTACAGCAAAGGCAGTAGTGTGCTGAGGAAGACTAGATTGCAACTGCTATTGGAACCCTCTGGGCTTAGTAAGTCTAAAACTCCAGATCCTACTCATGTGCAAATGCACTCCTTCAATTCCCTGAAGGGCAATCTCCTTGGAAAACAAACAGATGGGGCACTCATGTCTCCAAACCCAATGTGTGTTTTGGAAAAAAGGATATCACAAAAGAATTATAAAAATTCAGGGAACAGGCCAGGCGCAGTGGCACATGCTTGTAACCGCAGTACTTTGGGAGACCGAGGCAGGTGGATCACAAGGTCAGGAGTTCAAGACCAGCCTGGCCAAGATGGTGAAACTCCATGTCTACTAAAACAAAAATTAGCTGGGCGTGGTAGCAGGTGCCTGTAACCCCGGCTACTCGGGAGGCTGAAGCAGGGCAATTGCTTGAACCTGGGTGGCAGCTATTGCATTTAGCTGAGATTGTGCCACTGCACTCCTGCCTGGGTGACAGAGTGAGACTCTGTTTGAAACAAAAAAAATTCAGGGAACAGATTGCTTTTCAGTTTCTCAAGCTTCTAGAAAGCATAAAGTTGTAATGGAAAAAGGAAATCAAGCCACCTTCTACTTTTTCCAAAAGCAATATTAGATATCCCTAGTAGTCTATAAATAGCTCATTTGAAGCAGTCGTACCAAAACTTTATATGGTTTGATTTTATGACAACATCTATTTCCGCCCATCTTTGTAAAGAGTTACAGGATGTGCCATAATCTTGAAATTAATTAAAATTAGTTGTTTAAGCTGGATGTGGTGGCACGTGACTATAGTCGCAGATACTGTGGAGGCTGAGGTGGGAGCATCTGCTTGAGCCCTGGAGTTTGAGGCTGCAGTGAGCTATGATGGTGCCACTGCACTTCAGCCTGGGTAACACAGCATGACCCTGTCTCTAAAATAAATAAGTAAATATTTTTAAAAAGTTAATTGTTTACATTTTGTAGTATCTTTTAGCTTAATTATAAATACACTAAGGCAGGAGATCTAAAATTCTAGTAGGCTTAAGAATCCCTTGAGGCAAAGCATCAGCCTCGCAAAACATGCAGAATTTTATTCCTACCTTTAGATAGTTTGCTTGAAAGAGTCTGGCCTGAAACCCAAAATACTATCTAAAAACCATGACTAGAAATCTGTGATAAGAACAACAACAAAACTAAATTGCTTATTAAGGCTAAAGTTCTTGTCTATAAGAGTTGAGCAAATCGGTGTTTCATATCTATAACTTTAAATGTGTACTTTAACTTCTGTCCTCATGACGAATTCCTACTCATTAAAAATACACACCCAACAATTAGCCTTTTGAATAAAAAAATACGATCACAAATCTTAGTATTAGATTTGACAAATACTGTTTAGCATCCAATAAGGATATAATCTATCAGTTAAAACTATTAGATTGAGGAAAGAAAAGAAGTATTATGTTTCTTTTTTTTTTTTTAACGGAGTCTTGCTTTGTCCTCCAGGCTGGAGTGCAATGGCACGATCTCGGCTCACTGCAACCTCTGCCTCCCAGGTTCAAGTGATTCTCCTGCCTCAGCCTCCTACGTAGCTGGTATTACAGGCACATGCCACCATGCCCAGCTCATTTTTGTATTTTTAGTTGAGACAGGGTTTTACTGTTTGCCAGGCTGGTCTTGGACCCTTGACTCCAGCTTTTCCCACTCCTTCCACAACATCCCTGTTTTTACACACCTGCCTAAGCCTCACAGAGTTCTGGGATTACAGACATGAGTCATTGTGCCCAGCCTGAAGATACGTTTCTTTAAACAATTATTATTCTTATTTTTAATAGAGTTGAGGTCTTACTATATTGCCCAGGCTGGTTTCAAACACCTGGGCTCAGGCAATCCTCTAGCCTCTGCCTTCCAAAGTGCTGGGATTATAGGGATGAGCCATCGCGCCCTCTGGAAAACATGTTAATTGACTGCCTGAGACACCTAAGCGTAATAGATAGTTATGTTTTGCTCCTTGTCATTAGGAAAACTGAAGCTTGGCTGTACCTGGTAGGTTCAGTTCTTCCAATTCAATCACTGAGCGACTGCTGCTATAATAGTCCTTCATCAGCTTCTGTAGGTCTTCAGGTACCCCTGGTTTTGGTTCTGATTTTGCAAGAACATCAGTAATTTTCTTCTAAGATATGAGAAGGAAGAAAAATGGGAAGACATATTTTACAATGGCATTTGCCTTGGAATAGGTTAGTTCCTCTGGCATTTAAACTGGACATAGCCTTGGGTGTTAGCCACGTGTAAATGTGGATAACTGATCATATTAAAGTTGCCCTATGGAAAGTAGAAAAAATATTACAGGAATTGCTTTCCAACATCTATTTTGATTTTGACTCATTTGCGTAGCATGTATTGAATGCCTGCAGTGTACTAGAAACACACAATCATTCATTTATTTCCTTCATAAGCTTCCCTTCTCACTTCCTTCTAATGGTCCACCAAAGATCCAGAAGGAGCGTTTCCCACTGCTGACTCCAGCTTTTCCCACTCCTTCCACAATATCCCTGTTTTTATACACCTGCCAAGAGTGGTCAAGGTGCTGTCAAAGGAATTAACTTTTAAAAATATGTCATCAGTGGGCACATTTAAGCGTGACCTCAGTCAAGGCTAAGCTATCTAGCTAGAGTTTTGACCCTGAGCCACCAAGAACTTAACACTCCCGAAGGCCATTAGTGTACAAACTATCAAAGAGAAGTAAAGTCACTTCTTTAAGGACTTGCCAAACCTCAGCCAATTTGGCATCTCCCATCTTCCTATTTGGCCATTTGTAAGAAAAGAAAACATATGCACACACATTTTCAGTCTTCTAAAAGCTTGCTGTTAAGTAATTGGGTTGAGTCCACCTTCTTTCCTCTAATCCCAATCGTATTTCCTTGGCTGACTCACACTGCTGTTTTCACAACTGTGGGAGAAGGTCAGATACTTTCTCCAAGAAGCTAACCATACTTTCTCCAAGGCTGAGCCATAAAAAAGTTTGTATAGGAGAAAGAGTCTTTCCTATGCTCACAGGCAAACATCAAAATACAAGGGGGGAGCTTTTTTGCCTTAATTTACGGTTCCAAATTAGTCAGAAATGCCCCCATACTACCTTTAGCTGCTTCTTATTTTCTTTTTATTCATACTTTAAGGTATCAGGTCTTAAAATCTGGAATGAGTAGTAAAAGGAGGTTGGTATATTTCTTTTCCTGGACAGAGCCTGAAGGGCTGGGGGAGGATAGCTCTGGACTCCTTCTAGAATTAGAAACCCATATTTGACATCTGACCACACTGAAAACATAGGGTGGGTAACAAAGATATCTGGTACTCCACAAAATGAAACAGGAGTCAGAAGAATTTATTCTTAGCTGCAATAGAAACACTTATTACTAGTGACCTTCAGTCACCAAACCTCAAGGACTCTTACAATGTCTGCATCTCTTAGGTGGGGATTACAATAGTTGCTTCATGAAAGTATGATACATAAAAATGTGATAAATTATTAATATTACCTTTCTCCTCTTCCTGGTCTTGGTGGTATTGTCTTTTCTATCCTTTGGTTGTATCAAAAAACATTCTTTAGGCTATTAAGAAATACAAGTGAGAAAATTTTAATCTTTGCATGATAAAGTGGTATGTCAATTCGTGGTGTGAACCCCAAAGTACTTTCTGCCATGCATGTATTCTTCAGAGTATCTTGGTAACATTCTACAGAAAGAGAGATGCTGGAAGACCTACTGTAGGTTATTACACAGTGGTTGGGCTGAGAGAATTTGAGCAAGTCAAAGTGCAGATGACTTAAGACTGGAAAATCTTTGAATGAACATCAAATGTGTGAGTGAGTGTATATGTGTGGTTGGTGTGGAAGGGCAGGGTACTGGCTTTGTGTAATACAGGCAGAAATTGATGTGATTAAACTTAAGATGTGGTAAGACAGCCTTTGACTAGAGTGACTAGGGTTTTCCATGAACCAGCTGTGTGTGAGCCTACATTTCCAAGTTACTGCTTATTGTTTTGTATCATGCATTCCTTTCCTCTTTTCAATAAGCATAGAAAATCCAAAGTAGGATATATTTACTTACGTTTTTTAAACCAGCTGCAGCAAATGCCTTTAAATGACTACAAAATGAATGTCTCTGCTAATAGTCTGATACCAGTCTCGGCACCATAATATCTAAAGTAATCTATTTTGCCTGTTGCCTTGACCCCTGAGTACCCTATACAGTTGAGCGCTATTTTTACCCTGAGGTTTTTTTTTTTCTAATGTAGAAAAACAGGAAATTTGGACTAAGACCTTGATTTATAAAATAGAATGCTCCAGATTCCATATTTATTAATCATAAGCAGGAGTAGAAAATGTTTCCTGTGCTGGACCTTTTATGCAACATTGTCAAACAAGTTGCCAAGTAAGATATAAAATGGAAGTGAAAACTTATTCTGAGTTTTCCTTAACTTTCCATTCCAACCAGAGAAGACTCAGTTTAAACTGATAAGCTACTAACTAAAGCAATCTTGTCTCCACTGGCTCTGTTAAAATGATTACAGATGAATCTTTCTATGAAAGCTTGCAGACAGCCTGCAGATTGAGAATGTCTATGGCCTGAAGTCAGAGAGAAAGATATAATGCTACATAATTTCTTCAAGACATGGGGCCAAAGACCAGCAGTTTCAAGATTCTCTTTTAGTTATTACAGAAATGGATTTTAAAAGTTCAGGATTAAAGTGACATGGGAAATCTGGAAATTTTAGCTTCCTCTCAGATAAAAGAAAAAGCCCACAAAGCATGATTGCATCATAGCTAAAGAAAAGAGAGATATGGCCTCTCTTATTTAGAAAGTTAAACTGTCTTGTGGATGTAGATACATGCCAATTTGATGCTGGTACATGCCAATTAGAAACTGTGCCAAGGCCACTAATATGTCACAGAAGCTGCCAGATGGCCATAAGAGTACAATTACAAACCAGGCCAACATTCAGCTCATGTTCTTAAGGAAAAGGCCAGGATATGATTAGCAGTTCCCTTAAACCATATTACATTATCTCCACCAGTATCAAGGTTCTGGGGAAGCATATTTAGAAACCTGTTACATTTCCTTATTTAGTGTATGAAGGTGTTCTCGAGGAATACGTTCAGTGTACTGGTTGTATTTGTGCTAGGTTTACAAAGCCAATTAGCTAATGGTGACATCAATTAAATCTAGAAATGAGCTCAACTGTAAGAATATGGACTCTTTTATTCTTGGAGAAAAAATAAAAATGTAATTCTGAATCATGCGTAGGAAAAAAGAAACACGCTTGATGAACTGCTTTAGCCATGAAATTGCCTCAGGTTTAAATGTTAGGCTCAAATTCTTACATCATCCTAAAGGAAATACAATAAAATCTTTGGTTTTTGGAACCAGTTACTTTAGCTGGCTGTGGTAGGGTGCCAATGAAGAGGCCAATTTTATGGGGTCTATTTGCATAGAGGTGAGATGATTTTATGGAGAAATCCAAATCCATAGTACTGAAAATTCTTTTTTTTTTTTTTGAGATGGGGTCTTGCTATGTTGCCCAGGCTGGAGTGCAGTGGCTATTCACAGGCACGATCCCACTACTGATCAGCATGGGAGTTTTGACCTGCTCCATTTCTGACCTGGGCCAGTCCACCCCTCCCCTTAGGCAACCTGGTGGTCCCCCACTCCTGGGAGGTCACCATACTGATGCTGAACTTAGCGTGGACACCCAATTGGCAATAGTGCACTATAGCCCAGAACTCCTGGGCTCAAGTGATCCTCCCACCTCAGCCTCCCGAGTAGATGGGACTACAGGCATGCGCCGGCGCCTGGCTGAAAATTCTTAAATTTAGTCAACTGCTTTATTAATGCTGTTGTTTACCCTCAAGGAGACTGGGTAGGAAGATGTGAAGAATCTGGCCAAGCCACTAAGCATTTCTGGAAACAAGTTCTAACCCTGTGTGACTTTGACAGTTGATAGGCAATGCCATGTCTTTATATAAAATGTAGCAACTTAAAATATGTAGTCTGAAGAATGAAACTCCCCTAAAAATGTTGCTTTTAAGGGAAGCAACTGGGGCATATTTTCCAATTCCTTAAACTATCAAAAATTCCATTATTTAAGAATGATTCTCCTGGTTAAACATGGCAAATGAACCTTAAAATGCCAGTAAACTGAAAATAAAGGACATTGAAAAAGACCTATTGGGCAGGATCTATATAAAACCTAGGAAACCAGGAGAGAGAATAACAGTAATGGAGTGATTTCAACAACTTTTTGGAAAATGGAAAGTGGCTGGAGCTGGATAGAAGTGACTTGGCAGAGACAGAAAGCTAGCATCTGGGTTTCTGAAGGGGTGAAAGCAAACAATAAGTAAGTTCTTGACCTGTTGAACTCTGAGAAGATTCCAGTACTTGGAGACCCAAAGTACTACAGAGAGTGAAGGGTTAAAAAGAAAGAGATTGGCTGAAAGTTTATATTTAGAATGACTAGATGCCCCCATCCCCCACTAGGTGATATCTCCTACCCTGGTAGCCAAGCAACTACCCATTACTGCTTCCTTTTATGTTGCCTGTCCTAGCAGCCAACTGGAGATCTATTCTCTGAAGAGATCAAGAGGATCAAGGCTGGGCCAGGGGAGAGAGGGCAGAGGCTGAGGCTTGCCTCCATTTCCTGCCCCTATTCCATGCTTATATATAGCAGGCAGGAGACTACTGAATTCTTCTTCAGAAAAATGGAGTGGCCTAAAAGAAATACCATCAGAGAGTGACATATGGGAGTTCCATGGTAAAAAAAAAATCCAGCTTGTTATCCTATCACCCTACCATGAAGTACACTAATCAACAAACCCCACTCATCAATGTTTCAGTGTATCTCTCTTCAATAAGAATGAATAGCTAAGGTTCATCAAACATCTAAGGGAAGTCTCCAACACAGGAGCAAATAAATAACAAAAAGAAAAATGAACCTAGAGAAAAGTGGGACGGTACCTCAAAATAATGACAATTAATATCCTCAGAGAGATAAGGGAAGATTTTGCAGCCATGAAATAAGAACAAGATGCTATAAAAATGGGAAAAACAGTTAAGCATTAAAACAAATAAGAAAGGTGGGATAAAAATATACAAGGAAGGCTTGAAGATGAAAGTAGAGCCAATCTCCCAGAAAGAGATGAAAAATGAAAAAAAAAAGTGAGAAAAATCAGGGAATCAACCCAAGAGATTCAATTTTCCAATAAATGGTATCATAGAAAAAAGTCACATAAAACAGTTGCGGGCTTGGCATGGTGTCTCATACCCGTAATCCTAGGGCTTTGTGGGGCCAAGGTGGGAGGACTGCTTGAGGCCAGGAGTTTGAGACCAGCCTTCCTGGTTACATGGTGAGACCCCCTCTCTACAAAATAAAAGGCCAGCGCACAGTGGCTCACACCTGTAATCCCACTTCAGGAGGCTGAGGTGGGTGGATCACGAGGTCAGAAGTTTGAGACCAGCCTGACCAATATGGTGAAATCCTGTCTCTATTAAAAGTATAAAATATAGTAGGGCTTGGTGGCACATGTCTGTAATCCCAACTACTCAGGAGGCTGAGGCAGGAGAATCACTTGAACCCAGGAGGCAGAAGTTGCAGTGAGCCCAGTGAGCCAAGATTGCACCACTGCACTCCAGCCTGGACGACAAAGTGAGACTCCATCTCAAAAAAACCAAAACCAAAACCAAAACCAAACAAACAACAACAACAACAACAAAAAACTAGCAGCTTGGGAGGCTGAGACAGGAGGACCTCTTGAGCCCAGGAGTTCAAAGTTGCAGTGAGCTATGATTGCACCACTGCACTCTAGCATGAATGACAAAGTGAGACCCTTGTCTCTAAAAAGGAGTCATCATAGAAATAATATATGACAAAATAAAATTAAAAAAAATAATATATGACAAATTTGTGTTACCTGAAGGAAACTTTCTAGAACATGAAACTCCAAATTGAAAGCCCATTAGGTATAGGGTACAATAAATATGAAAAATACCCATACCAAGGAGCATCACTGTGAAATTTCAGAAAATCATGGACAAAGAAGATTCTAAAAATTTCCCCTCCAAAATAGTAACATATAAAATACAAAAGATCAGAAAAAAGAATAGTGTCAAGACCTCTAAAAAGCAATAATGGATGCTAGAACTTAATGGAACAATGATTTCAAAATTATGAATAAAGTTTATTTGTAAATTAAACTTTTATACCCAGCCAAAGTATCAATCAAGTATAGAATAAAGACATACTCAGATATATGAAGTCTCAAAAAATTTACTTCCTACCTACAGATACTGAAGACTGTATTTCAGAATATAAAGGGTGAAACCAATCAAAAGGAAGATATGGGATTTAGCCAAAAAGGAGTCCAACCCAGAAGGGTACTGAAAGGGCATCCTAGGATGACAGTTAAGAGGTGTCAATTGTCAGTGAGCCTGGAGAATAACCAATTCAGAATAAAACAGAAATTTGGAGTTCTGCAGGAAAACAAAACAACTAACCTATTTGAGCATATGGAAAATGTTATTCATGGGCATATGGAAGAGATGTTGGGGCATATGGA